AGGGCCACTCGCATGATCAGGGGGCAGCACGGCAGGCCCTACAAGGAGAGGCTACAGGAGCTGAACCTGTTCAGCCTCCACAAGAGAAGGCTGAAGGGGGATCTAGTGGCCTGTTACAAACTAGTCAGGGGGGACCAGCAGGCATTGGGGGAGTCCTTGTTCCCCCGAGCACGACCAGGAGTGACCAGGAATAACGATCACAAGCTGGCAGAGGGTAGATTTAGGTTAGGTATCAGGAGGCGCTACTTCATGGTCAGGGCGGCTAGGATCTGGAAACAACTTCCAAGAGAAGTGGTGCTGGGTCCTACCCTGGGGGTCTTTAAGAGGAGGCTGGATGTACACCTTGCTGGGGTCGTTTGACCCCTGTACTCTTTCCTGCCATGGCAGGGGGTTGGATTAGATGATCTACTCAGGTCCCTTCCAACCCTAGAAACTATGAAACTATAATGGGTAGCAGGGCTGGGGGGCAGAGACTTTGGGTGGGGGGCAAGAGGCACAAGCAGGGCATCCTGCCATGTACCCCGTGCCTTCATTTTGTTTTTCTGCTGTGCCGGTACTCCGGCACCTTCCGAGGTAGACATTGTGGTGTTTTTCAGCACTCTGGCCAAAAAAACATTGCCTACCCCTGGCTTAGAGCAATGAGGTCTGTAGTCTTTTCCCTCTCCCTATCCCAATCACAGCAGAAAGAAAACTCATGAATTGTTTACTGGAAGTTGTGGCTATGCATTAAGAAGTAGAAATCCTACCTTTTTCGACACATATCCAGTAAAAACACATTGAGGCCAGTCTCTTTTTCTTGCATCAGTTTGAGGATATTCTGTACACACAAACAGTTGGCAGACCGGTAGGGATTTGGAGCATCAATAGGGACCATGAAACTGTTCCCATAGTTTTCATAGCCATGGCCAGCATAATATAATAAACCTGAAAGATGAAAATCAACATGATGGAGAACATACTGGAAGACCACTGTGTACTTTCGTCGGGCTAGGACTTCATCCAGTACATTTACAGCATGCGTTTGGAGAAACTGAGACATTTTTGCTGACACGGATAGAATTCTGATTCATAAATCACCAGTGACTGGGGAGAAAGCCAAAACAGGAGCAGGCAATTGTCAGCTCTATTATAAGTAAATATCACATCAAGAGTTTGGTTAAATAAAATAGCTTTTAAAAGGACACTAGGTCCACATGAAATATCACTTAATATTTACAAGGTACTCACTAACATAATGAGCAGCGAATATGAAACCTACACATAAATACTTTCAAAAAATCCTTTTAACAACTGCAGCGTGCTGTAGAAGAGTTAAACTTGGCATATGCAGAAAAGCAGCTGTACTAATGTGCAAAATCAGTTCCGGTGTATATGCACCTGCAGAACTTCAAGTAACTAGCTGGTCCAGATTTAATCTTGGACTGTAAAGAAAAACACTGAATTACGTGTTACACTTACAACTACAAACAGTTTAGCAGGAAAGAGATAGTCAGCTTAAAAATGATATTACTCTGAAAATATTTCCATATTAATGCCCAATGTAATCCTAAGATTGTACTAACAAAACAAAAACACCAGAACCAATTATTGTTCCAGTTTCTTCAATTCCTGAATTTGACAGTTATTTGCATATTTTCAGTTTCATGGTTTCTGATGTATTAGTCAGTTGTTCCATTTGTTTTTGTTGGCATTTCTTATAAAAACAGGGGAAAGAACTATTCTAAGATACAGAAAGATACTATCATATATCACAAGGACTGGCAGGAATAAGGGACAGGTTGCTATTTTTAGAGTCCTTATAAATGTTTGTTTTTTTTCAATTGATCATATCTCAGGGCTTGAGTTTTGTTTTGTTTTTTATAGTTCAGGATCCATCACTGCTATATGGTTCTGCTGAATAAACAATTTGTTTCAAATTGAATACTTGCATAGACATGTCAGGATATTATCTTAAAACAGGATTAGAATAAAATTTAGTGAACAATTATTTGCAAACCTTTCATGCTCACAAAATTCTACAAACATTTGGCAGTTTTGTGTAGTAAAATAAGTTTTCTCTATATGATTTAGAAAATGATTGCTGATCATTAAACAGCAATTACTGCCTAAGCCTTTGAGTTTGTCTATTATGAATAAAATACTTTGTGTCTAATACTAACAAGACAGTGAAGTCAATTTGCAATACAGTGGTATGATCTCAGCATTAAAAGAGGAATGTTGACAGTCACTTCAATTTCCACCTATTGTAAAATCCTTGTGGTACATTAAATTAGTTCTTGTGCATGTCTGCATCACAGTTTTATATAACCAAGTAACTTTCCCACTTCTTGTTCCTGGAACTGCCTTAACTTTACTATTGAAGGATTGAGTTTTAAGAGGAACTTTAGTCACAAATTCCTCATAGTCTATGAATCAGAGATGTAAATTGGTGCAACTGAACTGAAGTCAAAAGATATATGACTTATGCTAGCCAGAGATCTGGTCCTGCCCTAGTAAAGGCAATTCTGAAACATCTCTCACCCTAAGATTTGATCACTCATTGCCTTACAATAGATGGCATTTAAAACACTGAAATATCCTATTTTAAAGGCAGCTGTTATACTGTGATGCACCAAAAACTTCATTTTATCTACTTGCAGCAAAAAGAAACAAAACAACACTTCAACTTAATTACAGTCTTGTGCATTTTATCAAGAGACTGGACACGATACTTTTAACCCCCCATTTCAGTTATTCATAACATCTCCTTAAAATCTCTACTGAGACCTTGAAAATCTCTCCATTCAATAAGCACAGCTTACAACTCTTACTGGAAGACTGCAAACCTACAGTTCAGGGTAAAGATAAGCACATGAAAAGCAAGTATAAAGCAGCTTGGAGCCAATAAATTGTTTACACAACACTTGATGCTATTAAAAGCTGTCTAATCTCCAAGAGACTGACAGTAGCCTCACTCAATTAAGTTAAGATTTGAAAGGGCATACAATTTTTACAACATCTAATTAAAACAATTTAAGCAATAAACTAATATTGGTAAATTAAATACAAGATTCCAGTTCTTACATATGACTGGCATGTGTGGGCCAAGCACCTATCAACAGGCCCCTTGCACCTGATGCACAGCCTGTTGAAATTAAAGGAAACTTTTCAGTGGACTTTAGATGTAGTGCTAAATTAGCAGGTGCACATACTTGAGGTTATACAGCTCCAAGTCTCAGTGCCCGTGAGTAAAGATTTAATATGGTTAATCAGTCTCTTGGAAGGCAATTCTAATTGACATTAACATCATTAGCGGAAATTTTAAAACTATTAAAGTTTTAATATTGGATATTGTTTAGCTGACATTTAACAAGGACCATTATTAAATGATAAAAACTAATTTGCTAGAGTAACACAATAAAATTAGTCAGGATGAACACTTTTCTGTATTAAAAGGCACTTATTGTTTTAATTTAGATTTGATACACTTTAACTTTCAAAATTAAATGTTTAACCTTGCTTAAAATTTATAAAAATAAAAATAGATACATCTTAAGTTTTATTAATGAAACCAATCTTATAGATTTACTAATGAATTTGACAGTAATAGAAGTAAATCCAAGATATTGTGAGAAAGCTACATGCTGTTATTTTATGACACTATAGAAAGAGGACATTTCCAAAAGCTCATCACATGGCTTCAGTAACAAGCTTCATGTGTCACCTTCATTAAGAATACATCAGATCTAACTGAAGACGGGAGAGGTTACAGTATTTAATTTCTCCAAACACAACCAACCTGATATGCTGCATGCATATTACTTCAATATTGAGAATGCTACTAATGCTTTATACATATACACAGGAGGCCTGGGCTTCACTACAGAGTTTCACTAGCACAGGTAAGTTGGTTAAGAGAGAGATGGGGAGAAGCAGCAACAGACATCTCACTCCTAACCAAAATAACCAAGCCAACAAAACACGTGGTATAGATGCAGCTACACCAGCTGGTATGCCTTACTCCATTAAAGCAGCAAAAGAAATATTTGCAAACATAAGCTGCATCTCTGGTAAAGATCCTCTTGTATATCTATAAAAAACCCCTTTTAAATGGAGCTTATCAATGCCCCAATACATGCTTTAGGGCAAACAAATCAAGAAAGACTTTACCTTCATCTGAAACCCTAGTATTGACTTTGATAGGACTGAAGCACAGGTTTGCAGTTAAGTACATGCTTAAGTGCTTTCCTGAAACAGAGCCTGAAGCTGATTGATCACCTGAAGCATCACACCCTTTTCTGGACCACTGGATTTTAAGTACATTCTTACATTCACTTCCATCCTAGCCAGGACTAAATGAAAAGCTGAAAAATATTCCTTGGGAGAATGGTGTTCCTAGATATTACGGCACAATGTAGAAACATGTCTTTGTTATCTCATCTAGGACTGTGGACAGGCATAACGCTAACTGTTCTGAAAGCTGTGGGAGCAGGGACACTTACCGCACAAGAGCCGAACCAATGCAAGCCTTTTATATAT